GAATTCTAGGGGATCGATCTCCTACCCTCCGGCACAGCCCTGGTAACACAGTGTCTGTGAGTAACTGCTGCGTCCTGCTCACCAGCCCCAGTCAGCACGCTGTCGTCAAGGTGCTGGACCAACGTGACAGCCTGTGGGAGGGAAAACCGGTCAAGAGCCCTGTGGACGAGAGGGTGACAGAGCGGGTGTACCCCGGAGGCAGGACCCGGACGGGGGATTGCGGGCCCAGCTGAAAGCAGCCGGCTTCTGGTGGCCTTTACCAAGGGATGCGGAGGGGACAGTGCGTCACTAGAACAGTGGCTGGTAAGCTGCATTTTATTAAAATTGAAAACCTCTGCTCTGCCAGAGGCCCTGCGAAGCGAGTGAAGAGACAAGCCACAGACTGGGAGAAAACATTTGCAAGACACATACTGATAAGGGACCTGTGTGCAAAACATAAGAAGAACCCTTAACAAGAAAACAGCCCAGTTTGAAAGTGGGCGGACGACCTGAGCAGACGCCTCAGCAAAGACGAGGGCAAACAAGCTCACGAGTTGTCCCGGCCCAGACCCAGAACAGCGACAACGCCGAGTGCTGGCGACAACGTGGAGCAGCAGGCATTCTCCCCCATCACTGGTGGGGAGGCAAAGTTGTGCGGCTGCTTTGGGAGGTGGTCTGGCGTCCACACAGGCTTTTCCCATCTGACCCAGCAATCGTGCTCCTTGAAATTTGCTCCAAAGAGCTGAAAACCTACCTGCACACAAAACCTGCATGCGGATGTTTGTAGAAGCTTTGTGCGTAATTGCTAAAACTTGAAAGCAACCAAGATGCCCTTCAGTGGGTGGATGGACAAACTGTGGTCTTTCCAGGCAGTGGAGGAATATTATTCGGCACTGAAGAGAAACGAGCCATCGCGCCACGGCGAGACATGGAGGAACCTTAAATGTACATCACTGAGGCACAGACGTCTGTGAGAATCCCAAGTCTATGAGACGCCACGAAAAGCGATGGCCAGGGACCCAGGGGAGAAAGGAACACACAGGTGAAGCGCAGAGGAGTTTTAGGGCAGCGGACCTACTCTGCGTGGCATGTGTGGTGGGCACGCGTCATTACACGCTTGCCAGACCCGCGCAAACACCAGAGCGACCCCTGCTGTCAATGACGGGCTTCGACCAATAATAACGCACCAGTGTCGGCTCGTTGGATGTAACGGCGTCCCACACTCGCAAGCGGTGCTAACAGTCGAGGAAGCTGCGTGTGGAAGTGACGGGGAGTGAGTGGGACCCTCTGGCAACGTGCTCAACTTACCTGCACACTTGACACTGCTTAAAACAGGAAAACCTATTTTTAAGAAAAGGCTTTTCACGGGTGCGTGGCAGGTGCCAAGGGGTATTTGGGTTTGCTCCGGCAACAGCCACATCTGGAACAGCGGGGACCCATGGGGTCCTGACGGAGGTTACCGTGACCCGCCGCGGTTCGTTCCCCAGCGCCCATCTGTCCCTGCACGGGCCGGATGAGCAAGCGAGCGGGGAGGTGGCAGGAGCCGCCACCTGCATCCCTCCAGGGCTCAGTGGTGGCCCTGGCCTCTGGGACCCCAGGGATGCGTCCCCGTGCGGGGGCCCCGCCCTCCTCTGCAGAGGTGTCCCCGCCACTTCCCCTAGGCCCCGCCCAGCGCAGGGGCCCACACGCCGCAGGTCAGGGAACCAGCGTGGGACTCTGCCAGCTGCTGAGTGTGGCGTCCGTTCCACGGACGCCTTCCAGAGCCGGGGGAGGAGCCGCAGGACGGACTCAGGGACCCGCTGGACCTCGGAGCGCCGGGTCTGGAGCCGGCAGGGGGCCCGGCTCCCGGGGCTCCTGCTAAAGGTGTGGGTGCTGCTGGGAAGCAGGGAGAGGAGCCAGTGGATTCTCCGCAGCCACTGGTCGCTGGACGTTCTCCTTACCACGGGTTAAATGAGATACGTTTCCAGGAGCTGGGCTGGAAATGCCTGCCCTGAAGGCCCCCAAGGGAGGTGGGGCGCCACTGGGCAGTAGGCCTGGGCCCAGGGTGGGGGCTGCCGGCCATCCCACCCCACCAGGGAAGGCTTGGCAGCTTCAGGCTCTGGGGCCACAGTCCTGCCCCTGGGGTCACCCCGGGGACACCCTACTCCAGCACCCAGCCCACCAGCCCACCAGCCCTTTCCCTGCTGCTTCAGTCAGGAGAGGCCAAGTCTCAGCCAGCGGCAGGGTGGCCTGGGCCAGGGGCCCGCAGGGGCTGCAGGGTGCCTGGGCCCCAAATGCTAGGAAGGGCACAGCTGGGATGGAGGGAGTGGGGCCCCCCAACTGTGTGTCCCTGGCACTTGTGGGTGCAGCAGCTCCACGACCCTGTGTGCACACAGGGGCACAGCCCACCCACCACCCCATCCCCACTCCACCCCCAACAAGGGCGGGACTGCTCCCAGGAGGAGAAGAGCGGGACACTTGCATCCCCGCCCACTGAGGGCTGGGCAGGAAGGGGGCAGTTCACAGCCTGACGTGGGGCAGGGGCCCCCATGGGCCCCGATCTCCCCTGCTGGGGGCTGCGGAGCAGTGCTGGTGCCCCGAGCCTGGGTCTGCCTTAGCTGCTCGGAGGGCAGGCCGGCGTCCGCCCTGCAGGCCCAGGGTGGGCGTTTCTGCAGGAAGTGGGGCTCCTCAGGCTGTGAAGTCCTGTTCGGGAGACCCCTGGCGCTCGCACAGTTGACCAAACAGAAGACAACCAGGCAGAAAGACCGCCTCGCCCGCCCAGGGCTCAGGAGGGGATGCGCGGGGCGGGCGCGTCAGGCTACTGGGCCGGTTTCATGGTCCAGGCGGAGGGCAGAGAGGAAGCCGGGGGCTGAATTCAGGGTCTCCCCACGGCCCTCAGCCCCACCCCACCCTCATGGGCCAGAGCCCTGCACACAGGGCTGCAGGGAGGTGACACCCTCATGGGCGTCCCTGGGGGCTCCTCCCTGGGTGGGAGGAGCCGTGTCACCGCCTGGTGAGGCCCTCAGGGTCAGGGCAGAGGCCCACCTGGCTCCAGGCCTCAGGGCTGGGACATCTCTGGTGGGAAGGGGCAGCTGTTAGGAAGCAGTGCAGAGGCTGTCCTGGCCCAGGGGAAGAACCTCACGGTGGGAAGGGCCTGCTTCAAGGCCGACTCCCCACACAGAGTCCCACAGGCAACTCCCTGGGGAAACTGAGGCAGGGGCAGAGAGCAGATGAAGCGCTGAGCGAATCAGCAGCTGAAAGGGAGGGAACAAGCGGATAAAGGGTGGATGAGAGAGGGAGCCGGTGGGCAGGGGACAGGTGAGAAGGGGACAGGAGGGCAGGTGGGCAAGTGGGCAGGTGAGCAGGGGGACGGGGGCAGGTGGACGGGTGAGATCACTGAGTGACTGTCTTGGTGACGAGCAGTTAACAGAGTGGGGCTCGGGCAAGCAAAGGACCAAGAGGTCATGACCCAGTGAGTGGACAGGCGGAGCCAGCTCCAAACTGCGCTCTCTGTGTCAGGAGCCTGGGTTGGCAGACAAAACCATGCTTTCAAATAAAATTTATTTCAGAGCAGTTTTGGATTTACCGAAGAGCTGCAAAGACAGTACCGAGAGTCGGCGTGTTGCACCCCACCCCCGTGTCCCCTGACGTCTGCGCCGGTAAGAGCGCGGGACGTTTGTCACGAGGAACAGGTGGATGTTGGTCCATCACCACTGACTGCAGTCCATACTTTCTCCGGGTCGCTTCAGTCTTCACCTGGTTTCCTTGTTCTGCTCGGAGACCCCATCCAGGATCACACACGCTTAGGTACCACCCTGGGCTCCTCTGGGCTATGACAGGTTTCCATGGCCTTGAGCGTCTCAAGGAGGACCGCCAGGTACACAGCAGGATGCCCCTCTGCTGGGGTTGGTTTGGTGTTTTTGTCCTGATTAGACTAGGGTTGGGGCTCGGGGGAGGAGGACTGCAGGGGTGACGTGACCTTCCATCCCATCCCGTCGGCACACACGCCACCGACACGGCTGATGCCTGTGACGCTGCCCCACTCACCTGGCTGAGTCCCCTGGCCGAGTGTGCCGCTCAGACTCCCTCCCACCCTGGGTCCGGGAAGGAGGTCGCTCCTGGGGGCTGGGGGTCGGCTCCCCTCCCTGCCCCGGGAGAACCCACACCCGTTATACGGCACCGTCCCGCGTCATCGATCCCGGCGTGCACGCAGACCAGTGTGGGCTCGCGGGCACTTGTTTAACGTGGTGCGTTGTCACCCAGCATGCTACTTTCCCTTCTGTTCCAGCTGTCCCCGCTTCGGCCGCCGGGAGCTCTGCCAGCTAACTCCCGCGCTAAAACAGTTTTCAATGAACCAACTAATTATTAGACGAGGGCAGGGACGAGGGGTAAGAGGAAGGTCAGCGGGCTGCAGTACCAGGTCACACAAACACATATGGGTGCACACGTGCACACAGACTCGCACACACGTGCACACGCACATCTGCCGTGGACAGGGACAGGAGGCGGCCCAGGCGGGGCCTGCCCCTCGGGGCGG